ATTTACAGACTGGTTAGAATAATTAAAACTGTTTAGTCTGGAAGAAAGTAGGGTAAGATCTACATGTTCAGGATACTTTGGGGTTCTGATTGGGTTAACACAGGAAATTTCTTCAGACTCAAACAAAACAAGGACATGAGGTCACAACTGGAAAATAAAAGGGAATTAATTTAGAACGGAGAGTAGGAAATATATTTGTACATAAAGGGTGACAGATATCTCAAACAGGTATTTGCATGCAGGTGCTTTTGACCCAAACTCTGGGCTCCTCCAGCAAAAAGGCTGCAGACATTTTTAGATTTGCTTCCTCATCTCACCAGATGAGAAAAATGGGAGTAACAGCTATTGTAATCCTTCTTTTGATTTCAGTACGCTCAGGGGGTGATCAGCATTTTCCGGGAAAGTTAAACCATGCTGCTCAGGAAGCATAAACAGATTTCAAATAATAGAAGTTGTTGTGTTAATTATTCCAATTAGCTTTGCTCAGAAATGATTTGTCTAAGCTCTGTTCTGGGTTTTTAGTCACCTTGTTGTACATCATCTGAGTATTGTGTATGCCAAGTATGAGACTCAGAATACCCATGCAAATGTCTGAATAATAGATATACCAAGAGGCATTAAAGTGCAGCAAAACAGTATTAGAACAATGGCATATGATGCATTTCAAGTGCTTCTCAATTTGTACATATATTGAGAATAAGGAAGGTATCAAATTATTTTTACCTTGATCTAGTCACATTAACAATATACAGTTAGTTACTCCACTTGTTGTTAACACGTATGTGCGGCAAGCTAAGTAAACCAATTAACTATACAACCCTCCCGTCTCAGACACAAAAGAACACTCCCAGGAAAACTGTTTTGCAGGATTCCAAAGGATTAAATGGTGGCAGGTAGTGTACACACAGCCCTGAAAATCAATATGTGCGATCAATAAATCAGGAACTTCAGAAGTGTCTTGGAAAAAGAAAATGCTAATTTATCAAGTAAGTGTGAAACACAATCACTTCCTAGTAGTATTAGATTGATTATAGGGAAATCGCTAAATGGTAAAGTAGTTAAATTTTATACAGACTTTTAAAATGTCTTAGCATAGAAACTAAGCTAGAGGACACAGACAAGAGAGTAGACTCACATAAAGTCTGTCCTGAATCAACTAACCAATTATGACACAACTAAAGCTGTATGTTTATTTTACCTGCAGAAATGATTTGTTTGAGCTGCCTTAAATACTGGTGCACATACTGAGCGCTCCTCATAAATTTTACTAGCCACCACATTCCTCATTTTGTACTAATACAATCTTAGATACTGTACTTCCTCAAGTGCATCTGAACTGGTTTTATGAACATGAAGTATTGTGCACAAATCACTTGGTGACGTAGCACATGATTTTTTTTCACCTTATGTGATTATATATCAATGCTCTGTCTGGAAGACCAAATAAAATACAGCACTTACGCATCTAATTTCTGACCTAGTTAATCTCTTTCTAAAAATAAAACTTTACAAATCAGAATAGCATCCTAGTTTGCACAGAAAATTTATTAATTTTGTGAGAAATAATATTATTAAATAGATCGTTTTAACAACACACCTTTTTAAATGTCTTAATCTCCTGTAACTCATTTTCAGAGATGCTGTTTCTTAAATTGTTGACTATTCAACAGTCCCAATGTCTGAAAGGAAGTACAGTTCCTTACACATGTGGGTGAGCTAAAAATTTACTAGAATTTTCATTTTGCAGCATTTTCTTTAAAGAAAAAAACACTAAGTGACAATCTTGTATTTGGTTTTTGGAAAACAAATCTTATAAAAACTTTTGTGTCACAATTCAGATGTGAAGTTGTCCTCACAAAAATAAAATAACACAAACGTGATTGTTCACGTATTCTTCAATATAGTCATATATATGTACAATTACCATATCTTCAGAATCAATATACACAATGCAGATGCAGCAGTCTGCAAGCTGATCTCTAAAACAACATTTAAACACAATGAACACTTGTTTCAACAACACAAGGTAAAAAAAATTCAAATGCAACAATTTACATATAAACACATAAGTGAGGATAGTTCACTGATTTAGTGTGCTCAAGAAAAACACTTCTATTTCTCCCCACATTTATTTGGCAGTCCATCAAATAAATTAATGTGCTGCAAAATCAATAACCACTGCAGATAAAGAAAGGACCTAAGAAAACACCCGTATTTCAGTCCAAAGCTGGTCGTGTGGATGAGAAGGAGTGTCTGGGGAGTTGGGCTCAAATTTGTTTACAGACACAGTTTCTAATGCAATGTTTTGTACCACATTATTGCTGCTTGTTTAATGTGAGGGAATTTGAACATCATAATGCACAGCATTTCCTCACAGTTATCAAGTTCGAATGTATTATTCTTCCACACCAAATTTTCACTTGCTTGCCTTTATCTTTGATCTGTTTTCTTCCAAATAAAAACAAAAAGTTCGAGACTGAATCCTGAAGAGAAGAAAACGCACACCAGGGAATTAGGATCCCATACAGCGCCTTGACACCTTCAGCTGCAAAACATGCTTTTCCTACACGAAGCCAGACAATGTGAACTGAAATGTGTGCTCATCTCTGCCGCTGGAGCTGTCAATTTCTTAGAGAAAAAACAACAACACTCCACTTATCACGGCCTTTCATTATTCAGTTTTGTCGAAATACAAGTGTATCACATGAGAGAGGCCACCGAAATGTAAGAAACACAAATCACCGCAGGCCTGCGTTCCAAAACCCCTGCCGGACCACTAAAGCAGGAAAATTCTGGAAGTGCCTGGATTTTCAAAATTCCCCATAAAACGGGAAAAAGAAGGCAACGGACGTGTCTCGTTCTCCTTTTTGTCGGATACTGTAAAACATTAGCCTCCACCCCCCCCCACCTCTCACTTCAGAACTTTAAATAAGAATAATTTAAAAAACGAAGAACCCAAGGTCGTCCGGGCGGGATCTCAGTTGATGTCACTGTCTGTGAACTCCTCCTTGATGGAGTGCTTGCGCGCCTTGCAGTCGGGCATGTCGAAGCCGAAGTCGGCCCAGTCCTCAGCTGCGGCCGGGCCCGCGCGGTTGGGGATGGTGATGGTGTGGCGCACGCGGAAGTGCACGGCCTCCATGACGCGCTGGCGCTGCAGCTCGCCCGAGGGGCCGATGGCCATGGTGGACGTGTTGCTGCTGGAGCGGATCAGCTGCTGGCCGTAGTCGTGGCCCTGCTTCATCTCCTGCAGGCCGCGCCAGATCACCAGCCGGAACTGCTCCGGGATCTTCAGGGCCCCCAGGTCCTGCGGCAAAGGGCACAAACCGGCATGTGGTCAGTCTGGTCAGCCTGGGCGCAGCCCTGGGACGACAGGACCACCACAGATACATCTCTCTGCACCCTAATCGCTTCCAGTGTTTCTGCCCTTCGAGCCACATGCTGTGGTGCATGAATGCAAAATTAAAAATCAAGACTCTACATGGGTTAAGACTGTGAAGGTCATCGTTAAGCGTCATTTGCTGAAAAGAATTACAAAATGCTTCAACTCCAAATGGGTTCATTTTCAGCGGCATATCAGGCTGCTCTACAACTTTTACACCTTTCACTTTTGCTTGCTTGTTGAATTTAAAAAAAGCATCCAATGTGCTGAACCACAAAAGAATCACTTTTGGTAAATAGCTTCACCTACCAGGGATAGGACCTACAAAACGAACTAACATTTTTTTTTTTTGCAATCTGTCTACTACAATATCTGTACAATATCCTTATTAAAAAAGATTGAGAGTGAATGGGATATTTACCTCCATGGACAGGCTCTGCAGGTGGTACATACTCTGTAAGCCCTGGGATGTGAAGTACTCAATGCAGTTTTGGCATCCAAGACTTGTTAAAAAACTGTTCAGAAAGAAAATGAATCCCACTGAGACCAAGGGGACAGGTTCATTATAAATTATAGTCCCACCACAGCTAATGTATATATTCAAGAACAGGGCTATTTATGTAAAATCCAAAGCAGGGGAATTTAAAAGGCTGAAGTATGCATTTTAAAATTACTAATTAAAATGTGCAATTTTTACTACATTAAATAGCTTTGTGCTGCTGTGGTGATTATCCCCACTGGCCAAAACATTTTCCTTTATGAGAACACTTCAGAATTGCCTATTGGTCATTCAGCCAGCCATCACTAACACAAAGTCCAGATATGACTATTTAGTTTTTGATCCTAACCTAACTCTCAGCTCACATAGCGTGCAGCCTTCTTTTTATTTGCTGAAACACTTTCAATAATGAACATACAGATTTAAATATGAATGATTCTTAAGCCTTTTTTGTTTATTTAATTTTTTTATTATAAATACAATGATAAAAAAATCTGGTCTACAGGACCAATGCAGTATCACATATATTATAGCAACATTTAATAATTAGTGTATAATACAAACTTGGAAGCATTCACAATCCCATTTGTTTTAGCATTCTGCTAACTTTTTTATTGAATATTTAATGTATATAAAAGGAGCACCTCATCACCTAGAATTCCAATGCAGAAAAGTACTGGGAGAATGACAGAAATGACCCTGAAATGAATGCATTTAGAGATATGGCAAGACCACTATACACTAAACAAATATTGTAATTAAAGTACAAATAAATTGAGTGTTTCTTACATGAAGCAGAAGTTTATATTGCCCATTCATCACTCTCACTCCTTTTATGTGTATTGTAAGAGATTTTTGGTTCTTGTTTCCATTTAGATTGTTAATCACCATGATGTGTCTTCCTGAAGAAAAAGGCTTCTCTAATTTGACAGGAAGTGCCATTGGGGGAAACACAATTGTCGCACAAACAATGCTGCAATAATGAATTTGAAGCTTGGTGCAAGACTATTGTGCTGCCCCTGCTGTCTCTTTCAGTCATCTTAGAGAAATCATTTCAGAACCTTTGTCTGCTGTAAGCAGACAAGTCAACATGGTTTGTAATCGAAACAGAAATGAAGAACAAGAATGAAGCAGAGGAGAAACACTGAAACATGAATCAAGTAAGAGATGATGTTTGTGTGGACAGATGCTACTCCCTTAAAAAGTAGCCATGATAATATATTTTTTACTTTTATGCTGAAGTCTCATTGTTACCAAGATCTTTGTGCTACACTTCCAGTGATGGTATTTGTTTCACAAATCTCTAACACAACACAAATGACTAATTATTTCAACCAACAGGAACCTTTTTTCTGACCAGCAGAAAATGATTTATTTTTTAAAAAATACTCCAACAACTTATCTTGTTAAAAGTCTGATACATGAGCAGCAAAGACACAGGAAAAGAATGTGTTTGGGGGCAATAAATATTATAGCAGGACTGAAATGTGAACCTTTTAGAGTAAAGTGAACTCTGAGTTATAAAAAGGCAGTGTTAACAGTGAGAGTGGTTTCTTAAAAACTAAAAATGAATCAAACACATTTTAACCCCTGATACAAGGCTGAAATAAAGCCCTGAACCAAAATGTGAACAGACTTTCGTTTAACTAGAAGACATCTAAGGGAATTAAAAAAATACAAGAATCCATTTCCCCTTACAGCAGGTTGAAAAGTGATTTGAGAAAATATACATTCACGTGCGTCACTTGAGCAAATGCAGAATGTTATATGTTCTGAATGTGATAGGTCCTAAAGTATGAGATATTAAAGAAACCCCATTGCAAGGCAGGGGGAAACATTTAATATACAGGCCCCCAGATCATGCAATGTTAGTCCAACACATTTTTTTGTCTATAACAGCACAGTCATGGTCGTGGTAGGTCAGTGTGTCTGTGGGTTTTCATTCCAACTTGGCTCTTAACGATCTTAACCGAACAATAAAAACAGCTTCTCCCAGCTCTTCGGGTGCTGCGTTTTTTAAAGAGGAGATCTCGAAAACCTTCAGACACACGGGCTCTCCAGGACCAGGCTTGGATAGCCCTGGAAGGAGTGAATGAATATCTCAGTGTAATGTCAGTGGCACTCTGGTACATGAGTGGATATTTTCTCTGGATGAACTGTGACCAGGGAGGGGATGTGGGGGCTGTGGCTCTCTCAGGGAAATGGGGGGCCCCATCAGGGGAGGGTGAAGTACCTGACTAGGCTGGGGTCAGGGTTATACGGAGGGGGAGGGGTGCAGTGGGGAGCAGAGACCATGGTCTGCGTGGAGTGACCTCCGTTAATGTCACCATTCGTCTGCATGTGGTGACTGTTCAGCATGCTGGAACCTGAAGAGATTCAAACAGACACAATCAAAATGGGCAAACATACACATTTGTGTAACACTTCTCCAGTATTTTACGCAATAATAAGTAATAATAAGGCTTAGAATGTAAATATATTTAAAACCCTGAGAACTGTGAAGAAAGAAAAAAACAAGCTTATGTAACAGGCTTTTGGTCTGTGAATCTGTGCATGAGATGCTTAATTTATAACAAATCTGGCAGTCATTGTCTCCAATGGAAGTCACTCAGAATGGGGGGACAAATCTGAGCTCTGGGCGAGCAGGGCTAAAGGCAGCTCATCTGTGTGAGACTGGCCTGTTTTACACATGTAGAAGCTGACAGCGAAGCCTCACCCATGGGCCCCATGTTGGGGACTGTGTTGGGGCTCTGCTGAGACTGCTGGCCCACCAGCTGGTTCACTGATGGCAGCTTGCTGATTCCTCCGTGGACCTTATTCATGTTGGGCAGCACAGAGCCGTAGGAGGAGGGCGAGGAGATGTGACTTCTGCAATTGAAAAAGCATAACAGTACGTACAGTACTCGCACTCCGCAATTTCGTAGCCCAGTTTTAGACAGCATTCGTACTGAGGCCAGTCGACACAAAAGAATGAAATTAACAAAAAATGGGCATAAAAATGTCTACAACTGAGTGTATTTCCCATAAGCTCTTAATTAGTGCTCTCTCTGAGAAGCTTTCCTCAGTGTACTGGACAGACATCAGAATCACAGCCTGCAGGCACAGCTAGGCTCAGGTTCATCAGTGGAGAAGAGCAGAAATGGAGCATGCTCCCTCTAATGGCCAATCACAGTTACTGCTCTTGGCAACCTGTGCCGATATTAGGGCTCATTGTTTCATGTGCTGTCTCAACCACACAAGCAGGACCTGCAGGTACTGAACTGAAATGCATGTTATAGAATTTCAATGTTGTTCTATGTATCTGGGAGGAATAGTTGCTTCTTCTTCCTCTGAAAGGGAGCAACGAGTTCAGAACGCATGACTGTAGAGGGACTCACTGTCTCTGTAGTAGCTGTTGCTGCTGCTGCCTGTAGGAATCGACCAGCTGCTGAGGGACCAGTTCCACTAACTCCAGACTATCTTTAATCTTCATCAGGATCTCAAAGTTCTCCCTTCCGCGTACCTGCCCAACACACCCAGAAAGGGTTAGGAAGACAGAGCTGGCCAGCAGACCTTAAAGGAAAACATGTGAAGGGAGGAGCAGTATGGCACCAGCCTGCCGTCATTTTTCAACTAACAAAAAATCAGAGTGGGCAGAAACCAATTTCTACAAAGCTTGCTAAAATAACAATGTCAACAACAAAAATCATCTTTATTTTGTATGGCACCTTTAAAAGGATCAAATCTTTCAAAAGCACTGCACAAAAATAACAGATAAAAATGATAACAAAAAGGCTAAAAACAACAAACAATAAATCATGTCAAAGCTCAAAACTTACATTCCGATTTGTAAGTGTTAGCAGTGTTGCTGTTATTTTTTTAGAAGATTTTCCTAGAGTCTTTATGCAACATAGGAAAACACTGGCTCATCGAAGGAGTGCTACTTGGTTCTAGATGCACAAGGGAGGCCAGACTGTAAAGATCTAAGACTGCATAGAGGAGTGTGTAGAGAGGAGAGATCACAAATCTGGACCTTTTCAGAGCTTTAAAATGGTAGGGTTCTAATTTTTTATTTTATTCTGAATTCTGAAATACAGAAGCATGTTCACTTCTCCACTGCCATCCAAGCAAGACGAGAAGGATGCACGAAACATTACACAAGAGAGGAAAAAGACACCTTGCCAAGCAATGTGCACCAGAAAACCTGGTGAATAACCTAAAAATAAAGTTTACAGACTTAAAATGTGCTGTTTTAATAAAGCACATGTAAAACTAAACCCCTGAACAATGTGAAGTATCTGACCCTCTGTGATCCTTCTGGCTATGTGATCTGACAATGTTTGTGACTTACAGGAATATAGTAAATCTCTTCTTCCCCATGTCGACGCTTTTTGGTATTAATCCCTGGTCCTGGAATGCTTGGAGGAGTCTGTTTGAAAGCTGAAATAGAGAGAAATTTGGATTTTGAAGCGGGAATCATAGCTCACCAACTAACACACGCTGCACGCGGACCAAGCTAGGGGCGCGTTTCTTACTGCGCTTGTTGGCGTTGCCGTTCTTTGCCACATTTTCAGTCATGGCTTGCTGCTCCCGGAAGTGATCCTCATCTGCTTTCCTGTCCCGCCCCGGGCAGGCGCAGATCCGCCCCTCGAACGACCGTCGGCCCAGGACCTGACCACTGCCAAGAGCCACAAGCTTAGAATTCAAAGGTAGAAACTAGACAACAAATGTAAAACTCCACCATATATACAGCGGTATTAAAGGACAGAGTCCTATTTATAAGCAACATTAGGGGACCTCCCTTATAGCTTCAACAGTATTTTATTTTTTGCTACTCAAAACACATTTTGTCTTTAAATGACAACTGGCTGGTCTTTAAAATGTATAAACCATGGAAGAAACTGGTGCCAGACACATTATAGAATTTGCTTCAATTAAATGTATTCATTATCTGACATGTGACGCTCAGTACTAACTTGCCTTTGTATAGAATTTTGATTCTGAAACATCACCAAGTGCTTTACATATAGGAGGGGACCCTGTTCATTCACATCTAAAGAGCAGCACACACATGGCAGCCATTTACTGCCCACTGCCACACTACAAAGATGATCAAGAAGAGAAGTGAGCTATTACTTTACCATCTGATTTAAGGAAAACTATAGGAAGGCCAGGCTGAGAAAGCCCATAGTGGAATTTAGCCAGGAACTGGGATTAACAATACGATCCTGGGACCTTTATTGACCAAGAAGTCAGAAACTCAGTTTAATATCTCCTCTGAAGGACCTCCTTCTTTTCCTATATCCTGGTTTGGAAATCATGTGCCAGGGGAAGAGCACCATCCAGTGGTTGATAAAGATCATTGACAGCAATATCCTGGCTTGCCTTAGAGGTCTCTCCATTCCAAGTACTGAGCAGGTTCAGCCTTGCGTAGCTTCACAGATCTAAGAAATCCAGGCTTCAGGGCGGAAATACTGCCAATTTAACAGCTTAAATGAAGCTTTACCTTTTAGTATACTGAACACAAAGCTGAAGAATAAATCTTATACATGTTTGAAATCACATGAAAGAAATGTATATAAATACATACATTTTCATAGCTTGCATTGAAGCTGCAGGACCTATAAGAAAAAGCCCCTTACTCTCGTGTCTCCAGAGTTATGATGATCAGAATGGGTCTCCTGTTCATTCCTCCCACACAGCTGCTGTTGCACATGAAGTTGTACAGAATCGTTGTGAACTCAGTTCCAACCTGCAAAAGGAAAACAAACAAGTTAATAGCCTGCTGAAATGCAATGGATTTTGAATGAATAAGATCAACCACAAGGACATGAGCCGAAAGGCAAAGTGAAATTTTGCTTAAGATATAAGTTAGGACTACTGCAGCTTTCTCAACTGCTCTATGAAAATACTTAAATACAACAACCAATAATGTAACTGCTATAATGTAACCAATAATGTAGCTTTGATCATGCTATTTATCCATTTAATAATTAAGGATAATTCTGTAATGGAGTGGATTCTATGGGCCAGAGGTTGAGAATTCCTGATGCAAGACAAGACTGTAGCAAAAGCTGAAATGCACTGTTCCAGTGGGTGGATTTAATTTATTAGCCCTTGTCAACTCCACTGATTAATCAATACAGCTCGGAGCTTATGGTTCTTTAGCTACATGGTGAAAGAAAATCCTGAATCCTGAAGTGAGTCCGTTGTTCGATGTTACTGTTAAGCTTACTGTGCCAAAATTCAGACTCAGTCTTGGTTGGCAGGCAGGTATTTCTAAGCCTCTAGATGGTGCTGCATAACAATGTAAGGAAGCTCTCGTGTACAGACAAGAGGCTATTGTAAAAAATGACACATCTACAATATAACTGCAAAAAGGTCTATCTTAATGGATTAAGGAGTCTAGCTTCTAGTAGTTAAGTTGCTTTTGTTATTCCACCTTATGAACTAGCTAAGACTTGTTCTCGGGCATGCTCAGAATTATCATTGGGTCTGAACTGAGAGGGAAATATAAGAATACATGACCAACATAAACAAGGACGTTTCCCACAAGAGTTCCTGAAAAACTAGCAAAAACTCTGCCCTAAGGAAAGAAAAATAAATTCCCATAACAACATAAAATTCTTACTCGATTGCCACATAAACCCAGAGATTCAAGTTTCTGAGTATATTGTGGAATTTCCTAAGTTGTTAACACTGTTCTTTAAAAAAGAAAACAAACATTTTTCAGACTTATTTTGCTTTTTAGTAACTATGATTTTTATTAACTTTGTAGAATTGCTATGTGTTTTTTTTCATATCATTATTTAACAGTAAGAAAAACATCTCAAAGCTTGGTGGTTTGCTCCCTTATTTGGTCAGGAGGAAGCAGGTGGAAGAACCCATGAACTCAAAGTGGGTTACACTTCCTAATAAGTGTTTTCACTAAACACTGCTAAGTTTCACATAGGGAGACGGTAGTTTGCAACTCCCTTGCAACCTTCCTTTATTGCAGAGGTTATCCCATGGCTACAGAGTGACTCAGGTGACGTTGCAGAAGGTCTACATACCTGTGGGGATTCATATGGCACAATGACACTCTGCCTGCCTGTGACTGCGTCATCGACATACTGGGACAGGTTGTTTCCTTCTACCCGAATGAGATGACTTGCTGGTGCAGCCTGACCTGGAGAAGGAAAGGCCAGTTAGATTTACGTGGCCAATGAAGAGCACCATCCACACTGCAATTACAGCACGCTGTGCCACTCGCCGTTCTGAGATTCGCATTTCCTCAGTAGCCAAGAAAGGCAGAGAATTTCTAAAAGTGCTGCTCTTTTTTTCAGACACTGCAATTTCACGAATGATGGCTAAGAAGAAAAGGCAGTCAAAGCTCAAAGGCCAAACTGAGACAGTAAATTGGGGGCACAAGCCAATCACTGTTGTTAACATTACCATCATTGAAGTCTCTTCCCAGTTCGTGGTTGGGACAGCGCTTCACCACTTCTGTGACGTGCTCAGCCTTTTTATAGACTGGCATTGCCCGAATGACACTGCCGGGTGGAGGGGGTGAGGAGAGCTTGATTTGAATAGGGCATGTCTTGGCGATCTGACAGTACAGCTTCTTTAGCAAGGGTGAGTACTAGAAACAAGGAGAAAAGACAGGGGGTCATTTCATTTGTCTACCATTACTTTGTACCCTGTGGAGAAATGTCATCATTTAGTATCAGCCTGACTGATCCCACTGGATCTCTGCTCACACACTGGCTGCATTTTAATGGCTACACTTAAATGAAAGTTTCATTGTTAATTTAATGATTGTATCCATACCTTTCCTGATTTTTTTTTATATTTACTGGTAATATTGTATTAATTGTGCCATAAAGTAGCAAAGACAATGTGAAACTTTATTCATACTCACCACATTCCCTATTATTTGTAATTGCATGAGATTCTTAAAAAACTCTGGCAATAAGGTAAATATTTACACAGTACACTTAATCACTTAAGAGAACATACAGTTCCCTATTTAAATTCCAACACCTGCCTTGTCTCACTGTAAATCTATATTCAGTGGCATCAGGCAAACCCTAAGACACATGATTTGGGGGGAGAAGGGAATTCAGCCATGATTTGCTGTTGACTTGCAGGAGAAGAATGATAGCTTGGTTGTGGAATAGGATATTGGACTCCCTACCCCCACTAGGAAGAATGAGACAAAGAGATGCTGAAAAGAAGGAGAGATTGAAGAACACTGGGATAAATGAGCAAGAAACCTAGATGTATACCTATAGTAACAGCTAAAGGGTTTCTTTGCCCTTTAACTTTGTGAAGTACATCAAACTCATGTATGTCAATACATTTTTTCCTGAAAGTGCACGAGGAGCATATGTTTAAAGTGCAAGTTTCAATAATGATAACTGGGATTTATTCAACATAATTATAACTGAAGTGCTGAAATCTGGCCTGACTCAGTCCGTGTGTGCCTAGACCCATAAATTAAATACATATGATACATTAACATACTTTCAGACTCAAGCAAATATATATAGTACAACATAAACATTCCACTAAACCGTCATTCAATATTTGCTTGCACAAAATCACCAATGACCACAAAAGCTTTCACTTCACACTTTTCTGCCAGTAGAACAATTTTTGCTACACTCAAATAAGTTCAAATAAGCTTCTGTCTAGTGATACCACCACAGACGATCCCAAAAATATATACATACCTTCACAAAAATCAAACTATAACATTCTGAATATATAAAGAAAACAGAATGCAGACCGAGAGATGGAGAATTTAAGTGGATTGTGTAAAAGATTTTCAGAAACAAGTGTAAAAGCTAGTGATTTAGTGTAAAAGTTAATTAAATCTAGAAAATCTGGTTATTTCCTTATATTTGAGAATTCCTAGTTTTCAATTCTGACTTAAACCCACAATATAACGGATTAGCTAAAGCTAGGTTAGTTCCTAAGGGGATAAAAGGTTATTTGTGAAGCCACAACATTACTTACACAATTAGTTAACTCTTGATGGCAAATCAGAAACAAAGGTCAGACTGTGATGGAGGTCTATTACACAACATCTTTAAGAAACTCTCATGGTGTCTGTCAGTCAGCTGAAGTGACACTGCTCCTCCTCTCCCTTGGGCATATAAATGAATACATTTTACACAGTGCCTATTAGTTTGCAGATACTCCTTTCCTAGAAGCGCACAAATTATATTCAAGACAAGACAACATAATCAAATTATTGCTAGCGCAGCTATGCCGGTGACTTTAAATGAAGAGGAAAAAGGCATCTTATTTAACACAAAGGACTATCGAGGGAAAGCAGCCTTTACATTCCTGTGCAACCTCGCTGTTTGGAGAGAATCGCGTACACGGTGATAACAGTGCTGTGATTGTATGGAGTGAACGAGATCCAAAAGAACAATTAATGAGAAATGAAGGAGGTGTGTGTGTGTGGGGGGGGCATGGCATATTCCTTTACAAAACATGCTGGGGCAAGCGTCATTCAAAAAAAGAAATGCCAGAAATTCACCCCAGGGAATTAAAAAGTGACTTCAGAGAACAAAAACAAATTGTATAGACATGCTGGAATGGATCAGATTCAAATTGAAATAATGCCTTACACATTAATGGACATTTGAGGAAGTGTCAAAAGTTAAATGCCTAAATAAATCATACAAGAAGCAAAAAGTCATACATCATTATCTACTAAAAGCAATAAAGCATGGCAGATAAAACTGTCCTGAAGGACATCATCATCCCTTTCTTCATGCCATTTTGTCTTCCAGCCCTAAAACAATAAATGTGGTAATCTACAGAAGCACTATTGTTTGATTCTGATCTAACCATGGAAGATCAATAGTCACCTTCTCTATCTATCTGAGATGATGATATCTCTTAGCTAAAGAGGCTTTAAAAGTTCTCTGGACTGTTAGTTGACAGGGTGATGCTTGCTAAGCTGTTCTAGTTATATTTTACTTCACAGTACTTTTGATGTTAGGCCTTATCTTTTTTGTCTGTCTTGAGTGATAGCCACAGATAAAGACAATCAATGTATCTTTGTATAAAGACATTGTAAATGTGGTCCTTAAATCAGTCATTACAAATTCTTAAACTGGGAACATCTTTAACATAATTTTTTTTTACTTGTGGCCTTTTAAAGGTAGAGAAAACCTTACAGTTTACACCCTTAGATGTGAACACAAAACCTTCCTCAGAGAGCTCTCTTGCCATGAGATTTCCGTGAATAATAAGGGTCTGGTGAATTCTGAATTCAGCTGTTTGCAGTGCAATACAGCCAGCAATTTGTCATCATGTCTGCCTGCATGAGACTAGACCCAGACAGGGTACCGAACCTGATGTGAGCAATTCCCTTTGAAATTTGAGGAGGATTCCAATTACTGACAGCTGTGAAGAAGAATGAGGAGGACGGGTTTTTTTGCATGTTGGTTTTTGGTGCTGCAACAGACAAAAGCATTTTGGGTTTCCGCAATCATACTTATCTAATAACAAAGGTGAGGTTTTGGCACTGTTAAGTGAGGCTGAACACAGCCAATTTGAGTACTTCACTGTGTACATAGTGTCTATGATGAGCTTGAAGACATTATTTATAAAAAAAAGACCACGGTGTTTATGTGGACACATTTTCATTTTTAGGCGATGCGAGGAAGAAATAAAAAAAGGCAAACAGAATGTTGGAATACATAGGCAAAAGTCTGGGAATGAAATCAAGACTTTCAACGTTAAAACAGTATAATGCATTATTAAAGCTTCAATTAGAGTACTGTGTTCTGGAATCAGTCCTGTGGTCACTGGATACATTCCCAGGGGTAAAGGAATGTCATTCCCTGACAAGCTAAAAGGACCAGAGCATTTTAGGCTTCAAGAGAGAAGACCATGTAGTTCTGACTCAAGTGCCCGAAAGCACTGACACAGTCCACCCGGAGAATGCCTTCAAAACGAAAAAGGAAACATCGGCCAGAGGACAAGTGGAGACTGCAGGGCAGTACATTAAGAGCTATTAACAGGAGGTACTTTACACAAGTGCTGTGGGAACCTGGAAGAAGCCACTCAGCCATGTTACCCTGGCTTCTTTGAAGAAATGGCAGGATGAGATCGTCCGGTCAGTCAGTGACTAGCAACCCTAAAAGGTAGATGGGCCAAATTGCTTCTAATCTTTCTTATGTTTTATGTCTTTTGTTGCAGAGCAGGTTTTGTTTTCAGATTTCAGATTTTCAGCTCACTCACATTGGTCAAACCTCAGAAATAAAATGAACAGCTATACCCAGTCAATAACGACACTGCATCTAATTACACTACAATAAATCAATCTGAATATTGCATGCTTATTGTCATTCCCATGTGCTTTATATTTCTGTTGTGTGCCTTTTATTATTTTATAAAAAATAGTACATTTATTCAATTTATAATAAAACAATATTAATCAGATATTTCTATCACTTTGATGGAAGTGATTAAGAAAGGAAATGCTTCACTTATCCATGTACTGCCTCACATTCAGTAAAATGTATTCATTGGAAAAAGCAATTATGCACTGCATGACACTTGATATTCTTCTCAAATATAATGCAATATTAATAAGAGGTCAAAGAAAAAAAAAGAGATGTCTTCTGTGTATGCTAGACAATAAAGAAATAAACTTACTGTTTGATATTCCAAGTACATTTTTTTAAAACAGTGGCCTTCTGTTCAGACAGGTTTTTAATACTACTCTCTCAATAACTCACTAATACAGGGTAATCTGCGTCATAGTTTTTTTAGTGTGGGGGACATTGTAAGCTTCTCATTGACCAAAATCCTGAAAAAAGCTACATCGCTTCACATTTGAAAAGCATTTTATATTGAGTTGAAACATCTGTGAAGAATTGGGGTATGAATAATGTATATACACATATACTGTACATTCACACACGTGCATCTCCATTAGTTGTCAAAATCTTTTGTGCCCCCCCACAGTCAACATTCCCAGGCAGATTGAGACACGCCTAGTAAACGGTTCTGTAGAAGCAGATGAACTTGGGAGCGAGTCAGTTCTTGGGTAACAGACTCTCTCCATAGTCCTTGTTGTGACATGGATAAATCTGTAGATGAACAGCAAAACGGTTGCCTTTAGGCAGGGGCGGGGCCGGGGGGTGGGGGGAGGGAGAGAAACTGCTATAGCTAAAATACAGTTAAACATTTAAATATAAAATCAGCAATTACCGAAGCATGCATGTCCCAACAGTGCTGACCTGCAAAAAACATAAACTACATAATGCAAGGTCTCCAGAAGCCTTTCTGATGGATTAAAGTTTTTAATATATTGAGTCGTCTGGGTTGTAACAATGATATAGCCTGTTCGAGTATGTCTAGATGTTACACATTGAAAGGCTTCTTTTGTAGGTATGGAGAGCTTATTATAACAAAACTAAACCAAAATTTAAGGCCAGTACATTTCAAATATTTCTTAGTTGTAAAATTTATTTTAGTCGAGCATTCAGGTCTCTAGAGTGCACCTTCATGAAGTGCAATTATGAACATATTTTAAAAATGAAAACAGAACTATTATACAGTGTATTATGCTGCACATACAGATAAGTACATTTCTATCCTTTGTGCATCCTT